TTTTTTTGCCCGGGGGGGTTTTGTTTCCCCCGGGGAGGGCCCCGGGGGGGGGGGGAAAAAAGGTTTTTTTTTTTTTTTTTTTTTTTTGAAGGGGGTTCAAAAAAAGAGGGGAAGGGTTGGTCCTTTGTTTCTTTGGCTTTAAATTTTTTTGGGGGCCAACAGGGGGGGGGGCCGGGGGGGGGAAAAGTTTTTTGGGGGCCCCCCTTTTTTTTTTTTCCCCGGGTTTGTTCCCAAGCCCCTTTTTCCTTTTGGGGGCCCCCAACCCCCTTTTTTCCCTTTCCCCAATTGGATAGTTGAAACCCCGGGGGGGGTAGGGGTCCCCCGGGGGGGGTTTCCCCTACAACGGGTTTTTGGGGGCAAAAATCGGGGGGCCCAAAGGGTTGGGGGGGGGGGGGGGTTTTTTGGGTTTCCTTCCCCGGGGGGGGGGGGAAAAAAAAAAAAAAGTGGGGTTTTTCCCCCGGGGGGGGGGGGGGGGATTTTTTTTCCGGGGGGGGGGGGGCCCCCCCCCCCCCCCCCCCCCCCATCTTTTGTTTTCCGCGGGCGTCGTCTAGGGGCAATCTGCACGGCTCTCCCCGTCCATTTTTTGTGTCTTTTTTTTGCGCTAAATTTCTTGTTTTTGTGGTGTCGTCGTAAGCGTGGAAGAAAATGTTCGATTCCCCTTTCGACTAACTTAGCCTTCCGGCCTGTCTTGATGTTGAGCCAACGGTGACGTGCGGGGCAACGTTGATGCACGTCACTTGGGTAAGAGATGCACCTGATTTAGTCAGAAGTTTTCTGGCAGGGGCGGTGGGGTGTCAGTGATGGAAGGTTTAGGCTTGGGACAACGATCGTTGAGTTGATGACATGAGTCGTTTCGTTGATGGTGGCCATGTACCGCACAGAGCACGCCAAGCCAAGCCATGTCAGACCTCCGAGAAAAGCTCCCGCTTGTTGTCAATCTAGACGGGGCCCGCAGGATTTCGTGCGTTTTTGTTTTGTTTTCATGTATTTCGGTTGTCGCGTCTAGGAACCGATTGACGGATGGGGGGCCCACGATCGTACTTGCGACGATAGCGAATGAATTAATCTATCATGGGTGGGTGTGCTCGCACTCGCAACATGCGGTAGAGGTGAAGGAAAAAACTCGGGGGGGTTGCATGGGGGACGGAGGACGAGCAAAAGTACAACAGTTGCGACCTCAGTTGTAGCTGCTTTTGCCAGCGGGAGTGAGCATGGTTGTTTGTGTTGGACTGAGTGTCGTCTGCACGCCCGTTTCGTCGTAAAATAGTTCCCGACACCCGTTCCGGCGTCACTCTTTGTTTGCTTCTCCTGCTCAGCCCCGAACGGTTTACTTCATGTGGGCGTGCGTTATTCTAACTCTGTATATTCATCATGAATGAGGACTATACATGGAAGCAAAATCACGCCGCGCGCTAGAGAGAGAGGGGGGCGTCTAGATCTAGATGATGATTCATGGAGGTAGTAGGAGTTGGGAACGTTGTTGGCGAAGTCGAAACTATTTAGGAACATGGACGACCTCGTATTACACATTATTGGATAATATCCTCTTGGCATGTCACGATGCCGTTGCTGCTGCTGCCACCCATCGATCGTTCTCAGCCAAGCACGAATGTCAGTGACTCTTGGTGAGGTCATTCGATAACAGCACAGCCGGCCGCGCGACAGCACACACGATTTTTTGCGACACATAAATCTTGTGACTGACGGGCGTGATGTGACACGCATCTTCTATGCAAAAAAAAGTGACTTTTGTCATTTTCTCGTTCCCTCACGAAAAACTCCAGGCGGTTGCCTCTTGGGCGGTGACCGCGCGTGACCATCCCGCACAGAGAGGGACACCAAGTCTTACGGCTCCCCTCGTCTAGAAATTCAATTTCAATTGGGCGCCTTATTTGTCATTTGCCAGAGCGCTCTCTCTGTCCGTTCCAGATTGCGCGAAGCATTTGTTTGGCTCATGTGCGAAGTTAACGTGGGATTGAAAAGGGGGCAGCCAAGAAAAAAATAAATATTTACAGTAGCCTCCTCCAAAAAAAGTGTTCCTCAGGCCCCCCCGCCTTCTCCATTCGACAAGAGCAGAACAAACTTTTCTTTGTCACCAGAAGTTTATGCGGGATAGATTTATTTATGACAAAGTGCGTACAGCAAGGAGCAGGCTAGCGTGCGGCGTCTGTTGAAAAGTTATTGCGCCTGTCCAAGAGGGAGACAAGACGCTGTAATGCATGGGTTAACCCTCCTAGTACTGGAAGCCCAAATAGGGACACTTTCGGGACACAGCACCCAATCAAATGCCTATTTACCGCACTGCAGTCACCCTTTAGGCTCCGCTGTGTGCAACGTTCGTGAGAACCCTTGGTCTATCATGCTTGGCTGAGATGGTACGTTGTGTGATATACTGTGTGATGCCTCTCCGGGGCCTTTGACTTGCTGGACACATGTATCTCCCAACCCGCGTGCCCCCCAGGTCGTAAAACTGTAGCATACATCGCCTGGTACAGCAGTGCTGGAAAAATTGCTGACTTGGCTTCAGTATGAAAAGTGTCCCGAAAACACGTGGGGACACGTTTCATACTGAAGGCAGATCACCCGTTGTCTGGGCGCCATCCGCAACTGACCGTCATGAATTTTTTTTGGGGGGGGGATGGTGATGAACCATCCCCGGCTAAGGTCTGAAAATTTTATGACATACTACCCCGTGGATGTAAATAGTGGATTCGTTTGTTTTTTTTTGTACTGTTTTTGGCCGGGTTTCAACTCAAATTCCGTTTTTTACCCAGGGAATTCGAAAAACGCAAAACCCCGGGGATGGTCCCGAAAATCCCCGCTTTTCAAAAGTGGTCAGATCGATCTGAAAATTTCAGGTCAGAGTAATTTTGGGGTGGGCATTACGAATCCATGGTCGTTTTCTTTATTCCATTTTGGTCTTGAGCTACAGGCACATATTTGGCAGCATCACCTCGCTTTGAAGAAAATTAAATTATTCCAAGTTTTGTTCACATCTTCTCGGGTACCCCCCGCCCCCCACACCCCCAAGTTGTACCTCAAACGGGCTTTGAACCCCACCTACTGCTCCACAAGCAAATACAAGAAGCACATCACTTTAAAACCAGCCCACCTCCCGAAACTCCCGAAACGGGCAAAATATTGGGCTCTTCCTTCCTACCAAGCTCATCCCAAATCTTTGACGCAGCAGCAGATTCGCATTCCTGCCATTGTGTCCCAGTAATTTTCTTCATCTTGGCATTCCTTCTTCCTACTCCCGAACTGGATCCCCCGGGAGTTATCTTCGTCTACGGGCGCTATTCCAGTGTCCATGATCAAGGTTTCCTTCACTTCGCCCTCCTGCAATGCGGGAACGAGACGTGGGTACGTCTTGCTGACGTAGCACTGCTCATACTCGCAACGCTGGCACGCCGAGCAGAAGCACGACGCCAACCGAGTCCTGAGCCTGTACGTCCGTTTCACCTTTCTGCAAGTCACGTCTTCCTCCCCCGACACCGGATCCTGCAACCCAGCCCCCTTGCCCTTCCATCTGCTCGCTACTGCACCCAACACCTTGACTTCCCGCAACCTGCTCTTCTCTTGACTCGACAAGCTACCCCGCCCCCTCGCTCTTTTGTACCAGCTTGCAGTCATCTTCGAGTTCCTCGGTCGTTGTGGACCCATCCCACTTGGGAGTGTTTGCTCCCGCGAAGTGGTACATGTCTCGTGTACCCTCTATGCCTGCCAGGACCGAATATGGCCGATATATCTCCTTCTTGCCGATAAACTCGACGTGCACCCTCCGCATGCGGTACGGAGACCACTTCGCGAAAGACTTCCGCATACCCTCCTCCCCCTCGCTGCCTGCCTTCTCCCGAAAGAAGCTTCGCAAAAAGCTGACCACCCCGTCCGCCCCCATGATTCGCTTGCCAAATCTCTCCCACCTCTTCATGGCGTTCTTTGCCACTCCGCCGATCCCATCATGGCAACCTTTGAAGTGAGATGTGGCCGCGAAGTGGTGGTCGATGAAGAAGCCGATTTGCCGCACGCTGTCGGCCAAGAAACGGCAATTCCGCCTTCCCTTGTACTGCTTCCCGCATCCATCCGTGAACATGTGAATCCGGGGCGTCCGGCCTTCTTTTCGGGCGGCAGCTGTTGCTTCGCTCCCATCTCCACGCAGGAAGTAGTCCGCCATCCTGGCCAAGCCGTGCAGGTGGAAATCGCAGTCATGCGCCATGTTGTCTTCAGATGCAAAGATCCATGTCTCCGTCACGTGCACCCTGCCACCCCCCACGTGCGTCTGCGGGTTGAAGTGTGCGATGGCCACCATGAGCTTTGTCTGCGGGTAAACCGGCATCATCATGCTGATGAAGGATTGGTGGGTGTACTTCTCGGCAAACTCGGTCTCGATGACAAGGTCACCGTCCTGAAACGTCTCCAAGCAACGCCCGTGGCAGTGCCTCTGCCACTTGGCGATAGAGTGGTGAGCCATGTACAGCTTGGTGTGCTCTTTGAAAGCCGACCAAAGATCGCAGAGCTTACCCTCCTTCGGCACGGTCTGGCTGGCGAGTTTCTTGGCCTTGATCTTCCCATCTGCTGATGCAGGCGCAGTGATCAGTCCTCGAACATCTTCCACACCACCGTCTGCTCGGAGTTCTCTAGCTTGCTGCAGATGGGAATGCCGTCAGCCCCCCCGAACCCACACTTCGCGCAGTCCAAAGCGTTGCACTCCGGTTTCCGCCCCATCCAACCGTCACCCTCCGGGTCCGCTGCCCGCAAGTTGACCTTGGGGCAGGCAATCGCATCGGAGAATGTGCCCAAGTGCTTCCACGTTTCCCGCCACCTGCTGCCGCCATCTGCGTTGCACCATCGACGCCGGCATTCCCCGTGGCTGGTCATGTCGACATTGGCCAGGGCCTCGATGCTATACCTGCTGCGGGTGGACCTTGCACGCGCACTGCTCCATGGCAGGGAGGACCAGGCGCTTGCACCGCGTCGAGAGGAAGAGCGTGCGGCCAGGGTCAGTGAAGTCGTCGCTCTGTCGCTCCTTAAAGCTCTTGTAGGACGCCCAGTTGAGAAACCTGGCGTACACCGCGTCGCCCCCGCCCGGCTCGGTGAGCTGCCGCCGAGGGTGTCGGTGAGCTGTAGGAGACTTACTCGCCTTCCACATGTCGCGCTCAGCTGAGTTGCCACGCTGGCGTGACACCTCGTCCGTGTGCCAGTACTGCCTCATCAACTCCAGCAGCTCTTCGCTGGCGGCATTGCTTTGCTTAGCTCGGGGCCAAGACCAGTAGACACCGCGTTTTATCGCCTCGGTTGGATGAAGATCGGACAGCAAGTTCTTGGCACGCTCCACCGCGGAGTTGAAGGCGTGCTGGTGAACCCCCAGCGCCTTTGCCCTACGTGCTGCCGACAACGATGGAACCTCGTCTACGCCGTCCACAGGAAAGGCCGCAGCGGTGAGGATCGTTTGCAACGTGCGGCTTCCCTCCTTGGTTCTACGTTGCTTTTGCGCCTGCTCGATTGCTCGCTCCAACGAGACTGCTGTGCTGACCTTGTCTTCCAACTCTCGCAAGCGTTTACGAGTGTCCTTCGCAAACGTCGAGCCGATTTCTTCCAAGTGTTTCAGCACGTTGTCATTCCCCATGCTGTCCATGGACGCGAGAAACGTTTCCGTAGACTGCTGGCGCCAGTCGACCGGCGCTGTCTGTGTGCACACATGACGAACGAGGAGGCGGGGGGTACGACGTTGCGCAACGCAATAATACATAAGCGCAAGGCACGACTGATGGGGAGACCATTTGCACACACAAAATTGGGCGCTTAGTTTCCGTGGGAGCTGACACAGACGAGCTCTCGCTGTACAACTACGCGACGTTTCATGCAACTCGATCCTCTCGGTGGCGCAATTATTCGTGTCTCGGCGAAAGTGTTGATTGATGAGTGCATTGTAAGTGGACATCGACAAACTTATCTGCTGTGCTGTTGATTGACTGAAACCTCTAGCGACATTAGCATCTCACCGACTCAGCTGGCTGAATTGTCACCACCCTGGATCGGGTTCTCCCGCCACTCCGCAAAGCCATGATAACAGGGTCGGCGACGGCGCTATCTGCTGTCCTCCTCACGCCTCCGCTGCTGCCGCCACCACCAGACCGCTGCTGCGCCTTTTGCCACTGCTCGCGCTTGTTCTTGAGGACCTTGTCAGTCAGCTCCTTGGCCTTTTCGCTGACCGCCTCTTCGGTGTTCTTCGCGTAGCCACTGTAGGTTTGTGAGCTCCTGTTCTTGTGCTTCGAGTCAACGAGTGTCGCGGTCACCAGCACCCCGCGTTCGGAGACAAACCTCCAACTGAGCTTGACGACGTGCTTGTCTTTTCCAAGAAGGACTGTGCGTTCACATCTCCCTGGTTTGGTCACAGCCGCCGCTAGTCCAGCTGCCGCTGGCCCAGCTTGGGCTGAGCTCATGATCGAGGCTCTGCCCACCTGAGTTTTGGTCTGAGCAACTTTCTGAGTGGCTCTACCCGCCCCCCTAAATCGGCCACGCGGAAGCGATTGCAGAGGTGAACAGTTAAAAAAAAG